CCCCCTCGTGGACGATCGCCGTCGACGCACAACGACGGCGGATAAACGCCCACGCTAAGACGCCGGCGAAAACTCGGCTCGGTTACGGTGATCATACCGCGGGCGTCGTGTGTACACACGTCGCCGGACAGCTTACCTCTTGGATCTTGTAGCTGGTGCGGACAGTCTTGCGCCTGGTGGTGGTGACCTCGTAGGTCTCCTCGACGGTGGGCGCCTCATCGTCGTCGTGACCTCCGCTGTTCACCACGCCGTCGTCGCTCGTCCTCACCAACGCGTCCGTCTCGTCCATCTTGGCGTTATCCGCGCGATATCCGCTCCCAAAGGATCGTCGGTTCGCAAAATCGACGGAGATGAATTTTTAGCTAGTCTCTCCCTCTCTCTCTCTCTCTCCCTCTGATCGGCTGAGAAGCGAAGATCTCGCTCGCTGGCGAGGAAACACCACCGATGCGGCCGTCCGATTTCGGTGCGCGAGCGCGCGCTTCGGAAAACTTTTACTGCCGCGTGAGACGGAACTATTCCGGGCGTGCAAGTTCCGCGGAGAGGCTGGCGGTACTAAAGCACCGCGCGCGCCGCGGAAACCCGCGACGAACGGGAACCCGCGCGCGCCTTTCCACGGCGAAAATAGAACCTCGTGTTCCTTCTCCCGCAGGAACCACGAGACGCCGCGAGAATCTCGCGTGACTCGGGCTATCGGCGAACTACGATCTTCGCCGTCAGATCGCCGATAAACCGTCCGAGCGGCGTCTGCGGTGCGCGAGAGATCGAACGACCGCCGGGGAATAATGCGGATTTGGGCGCAAGAAGGACTGTCCAGCGGACGGACCTTCGAGAATAGAATTGATAGAAAATGAGAGGATACGGAGATACGAGGATACACAATTATACGGAACTGTGGATTCAGATACCTTTCGACGGCTCGAACAATGAGAACTATCAATTACTACGTTTACATGTCAACGTTAATTCGGCTTTACAACAACCGTAGTTAGTGAATTCTTGCGTATCCGATTGGTGTATTCTTTTACATCTAAAAATATACTCCAGTTAAACGCAAGAGCCCACTAATTGCGGCTGTTAGTAAACCGGATTAACATTGCGGTGTAACAGGACTCGACGAAGATTAACGCGCGCAATCGCAGCTCACTCGGGCGTGTTTCATAAAATCGGCAACACGGTAAGTCGTAAAACGCATCGTATGCACTCGTCATACATCTCCACGAATGCGTTTGCGTAATAAAATCTATTTATTTAATAAAATACAAATCTCTGAAAATCCGTCAACACGCAATATAATAAAAAGTTAGATCACATGTCACATCAATTTTACAGCTGCTTATTGATTACTTGAGTAGAAGGTAAGTTTTCAAAATATCTCACATATCTGCTGAATCTATCGCAAATGTTGTTAATCAAGATAATGACCGAAGCAAGGAACTAAGAGCTTTTCCGAAATTAAAAATATATTAATTTCAAAATCTCTAAAATTTTCAAAAATAAAACTATAAAAAATAAAGTAATACTTTTTACACATGTATATATGCGCTTATTACTGTTAACAAGATGATAAAGAAACAAAAAAGAAAATATTTTATTAATTAAAGAAAATTACTAAGTTAAAAAAGTACGCGTTTACATATCACGTTTCTGTATTTTTGGTAAGATGAATCTATTGCCGTACAAAGCATGCACCCGTTTTAAAGTTTCGACAACATCACCCATCTCCTTGCAGGCAACCGGCACGCGCTTGTACATCACTCGTATCATCATTAACAAATCTTCGATGATATAAGGCTTATCCATAACATCGCCCTTCCTCGCCAGATCAACGTATATATTAAATTTCCTCAGTGCGTTCTTTATCACTTTCTTGTCTTTTGTTGTCTTGGCTAGAGTCTACAAAACAAAATGTTAATGGTCGAAACGCAGCTATTGTTTAATTACGTATCGATCACTTGTAACGACTTACCTCATAGGATTCAAATTCGAACAACATGGGCCAATTTTCCTGGCAAGGTATACACTTGCAGGTGAAGAAATAACTCTTAAGTAGACTTTCTTGCCTTTCTATTTTCGGCATTAAAGCATAGAGATATCCGTAATTATCAAGAAGCTGTAAAAGTACCTTTAAGTTAATTATGATGAAAAATAATGGTTATATTGTAATACGTGATTATTTAGTACCTGCTCGCCGCTACGAATAGGATACAAAGCGTACAAAATGATATGCTCAGGTCTAGCAGATCTGATTATGTTCGGACTACAGCTGTGATTAAATAGACTACAAAAAGGCATTGCAGCCATACCACGTTCTATCATATTTAAATTTTGCTCTTCACAGAACTACAAATATCAGATTTAATTATAAATATTATATGTAAAATTATATAATTATAAATAAATATCAAACAATTTGGTAAATGGAATTACAAAGGGAACGATAAGAAAATTAAACGAGAGATCACTGTGGATAGATTCGCGAAAAACTGGATAAAAGGATTAAAATTGGATAAATATCGCAGACACTGGAATGTAAGTACATATTAAAATAATTAGTCGATAACATACATACACTGTGGACATTGGTCGGGATTATTTGCTGATGTCTCAAAATGAGACCACCAATGAACGTGACGTCGTCGTTTTTCGCCAGAATTTTTAAATTGTTGGATAATTGAATGCCGAAAAATTGGGTAGACTTTGCTAGATGATACAAAATGTAACAAGTATCCACGGATCTCTGGAAAAGATCAGGGAACGGTCTTTCTTCGGTGCTTCTTTCCAGACTGTACAGACTGATGTACTTATCGCTATAAAATTTCCCGTCTGAGGAGAAACCCATAGTTCTTGGATCTGAAACAATATTACTGTGAATAGCGTAATTTGCTGCTGTACAATGATAAAGGGTATGAATTTTACGTACCATCAGATTCATCAATTTTTTTCAACATTGTTCTCAATCGTTTTATATTACCAGCCTCTTTCACAGCAAGCACAGCAAGTCTCAAACTGAGAAAGTCACTATCACAGAAGCCACAAAGGACCATAATAGTGAAGATATCACATTCCACGTCATGATACTTCCTCCATTCGATGTCCCTGCACTGTTCTGAGCAATATAAGGTATAAGTGCAATTTTTGCAGGGTATAGTAGCCCAACATACTTTCAAGCAATTTGAACAGTGTGTCAGTCTCTTCTGTTGTGTCAACAGCAACGAGTAGGGCTTTTCTACGACAAGTACTTCACCTGCATCAATGTTACGAGCAGCGACAACATGTCTACCAAATTGCTTGTCATATTTCAAGACTACAGCATCTGATGCGCAAGGAATCTCATTATTACAGGACTTGATAACAGGCAGAGGAAATTCACTTTCTGATTCTTCTGATCTAATAGGACTGCTCTGAATATTTCCCTGCTCGATCTTCCTGCGCAATCCATCCAGTTTGGCTTGTATTTTTAGTTTATTGGGATTCATGGTCATCTCACTTATCCAATGCTCTGTCTCCTTAATCATATCTTCCGCAATTGGTTTGCCCAATGCGATTAGACATTGCATTTTGCGTATGAAGAGTTTCCCTTTCAGATCATCGGGATAATTTAAGGCCAATGCTCTGTCGATATCCTGAATGCATTCTAAGTATAAACCCAATACATATAAAACAGCAGACCTATTGCCATATGCGAGAGCAAGTTCCAAGGATAGATAAGGTGCCATGGATATGCTCTTTGTATACAAATTCAAAGCTATAACGCATGAAACATCATTTGAATTACAAGTGACATAAATATTATTTCCTTCTTCTCGCAGTTGCTCAGAATCTTTGGCATTCTTTGTCTTATTAATTGCATCCGGTATCAAACCATTCTCCCACATAATATTAAGAGTATATATCACACGCTCCTGATCAGTCTTGAGTTTTTGAAAGCTGTCCATAACATCAAAATATTTGTCTGCCTTCAAAAGTGCGAACACTAACTTATCCCTATGATATGCCATTTTATCTCTTCAAGATATATTGCCAATACTTGTAAGCAGATCTAGAAATAAAAAAAGAAGCATTTCTCTTAAAAAGGTAAATTACACAGCACATCACGTTGCAAAATGTTGTAATTTGTAAGTTAATATCGTTTCAAGTATCCCAAATAGATGAGAGAGATAGGACTAAATGAAATACCTTCACCACAATTAAATACCTTCAACATTAAATGAAATACCTTCATCACATAAATATCTTTTCCTTTTTCAATATTTCTATGGATTTCCTACTATAATGTGAATATACATACAATGTATAAACTATTCGCAACAGGTCTCCACACCAGTATGCCGGGTATCATAAACGTAAATAAGTAAACGCGTGACTTCTACGTGACTCTCTCTCTTTTTTCAAAGTTAACAAAGAGTTGAACAATCGAATTGTTAAGATCAAACGAAAACTTGTGTCTTCTCATCTCTGCGGCACTTCCTATTTCACCGATACAACCAGGCATTTATTTCTCGGAATGAAAGGCTCACCAGGTCGAATTACTAATGAAAAATCGGATTACTTCACTTCCTTCGCTACTGTCTATCTTCCGAGAGTTCCTATGCTGTAAAAACTACGCCGGGACATTCTTGGACAGTTTAGTGAAGAACACCCGAAAAACTAGTGATTATTTTCACCGATTTGGTGATTTGGTAGCACTTGAATACTTGTGACGCGGCAAAATTTATTTAAAAGGCTCAAGTTTGAATTCAATTCAAAAACATAATTTCACACGCTATATGTGTTAACTAAAACAGCATTAAAATATTATTTGATATAAATATTATTCACTTATTCGGTTATAAATTTAACACATGTTATATTAATTAAAATAACAATAAAATTATTTGACAAACACGGAAAGAATTTGAGAAATTTACGTTTAAGAAGGACAAAGAGCTTTTGTTATTCGAAGATATTTTTCAAGACGTATAAGTTTAAAATGTATTAACACGTCGTTACCTTGAACAAATTTATTTTTGCATCCTACCTTCCTGCTTCAGCTCCTTTATCGGTAGTGTCTCTCAATCGTGACACTTTCCGCACTCGCAATTATATTTCCAAGATTTGCAATCAAGTGTACGTGTCTGTGAATTATTACGTGAAATGAAACGAATATTCTTGAAGACTTCTAACATTGTGAGCAGCTTAACAGATAACGATGACGACAAAAAGAAGCGAAAAAATTCTTGCTCAGAATTCTTGTAAAATACGTTTAAGTAAAAAAAAATACCTTTATAAAATGACACTTGTGGTAAATTAAA